CCTCCAATGGATGCTGCTACTGACTACTACCATTTATGGCAATGAAGTCTGTTGAGAGTAGTGATTGTTATTCACAAAGATGAATTTATCTGCGCTCTTGTTTTCTGCTGGAGTCAACACAGTAGTGTGTGTGGTGTGTTTCAGTTTGTATTCAGTTTTTAGGAAACAACCAAGCCTCGTTGATGTGTACTTTAGCCAAAATCTTTCTCATGTGCGATTAAAACGATATGATCCCTTTTGCCGATTTGTACCTTCTCCTAGTTGGATAGTGAAGGCATGGGAAACATCGGATGAAGAAATAACTTCTATTGGGGGCTTGGATGCTCTGGTCTTTGTCAGGACAATTGTTTTCAGGTATATCTACTTTAAGCTCTTTTATTTTGTAGATTAGTTGAAATATTCTTGATATTGCTCCCAAGAAAGTACAAATATAAAGAATGGATATTGCAAGGGCATTGGTAATGGCTTGACAATATCTATCCTTTTAGTTTTAATGTTAAAACACATCTTTTTATTTCTTTCCAATGATCTTCTAATGTTTTGGCAATCTTTGGACATATTTGAAATAATAATCTTGCAGATGCATACAGAGCTTGCGTGCTTTTACCAATATAGTTCCATTGGATTTTTGAACTGTGCTTACCTTTGCAGCTGCTTTGTTTTGTAGTCTCCGAGTATTCTCGATTGCTTCTATTATGTGCATTTTTGTTGTGCTACCACTTAACTACTTTGGGCAAGAGGTGGAGCATACACAATTCTTTCGTGCAGAGTCATTGGACCATTTTACCATTGACAATGTCAAGGAAGGGTCAGAATGGTATGAAATATATAATATATACGATATATCTAGTGACATCTGCATCTTCTTCACTCTTAAGAATCCAGATGACTAAGTCGTTTCATATTCACATATAGACGCTTGTTGCAAAAATATATGGTCCTTCTGACCTGATGACCGTCTAGAAACTGAAATTAGCTCGCTGATTGCTCTTTCAAGCAAACTCATTTAAATATAATAGATTCCATTCACGAATTACAAATTTTAATTCTTGAATTGCTTCTTTATCTCCTGTTCTCTATCTTTTTTGCACTGCAATTTGCTTCTTTTGATTGTCTTTACTTTTCCTTGACAGGCTCTGGGTACACTGCCTTACATTATACATCATTACCTGTGCTGCTTGTATTCTTCTTTATGTTGTAAGCATATAAAAGTCCTATTCTTATTCATTATCCATTATTTTCAATTTTTTTTTTAATAATATTGTGGACCTTCAAGAAATACCTGCTTCTTTCATCATTGATGTTTTGCCTCCTGTTTTTAGGAGTTCAAAAACATCACGGCAATGAGGTTGGGCTATATTACTTCATGTGCTTCTAACCCAAGTTATTTCACAATTCTTGTTCGTGGCATCCCGCGTTCTCCAGAAGAATCATACAGTGACAGCGTGACAAAATTCTTTACAAATTACTATGCACCAAGTTATTTATCTCATCAAATTTTATATCGAGCTGGTTCTGTTCAAAAATTGGCAGTAAGCATCTGATGACCTTTTTCTGATTGTCTGTGATGGACTTGATATGCTGTTATTGTTGATTGCAATCTCTCTGTACTTCGCTTGATTAATGTTTGGCACCGTATGTCATACAGACGGATTCAGAAAAAATGTACATGATCCTGAAATCATCTTCGATGAAGCAACACTGTGAATCAAGATTGTTTAGATGTGGCCTTTGTGGTATATCATCTCCTTTTACGATGCTTTCCCCAGATCCTGAAATTCAAAAAGGAAAAAGTGGTTTCGATTCAGAATTGAGGAAAAAGGTCATAGACATGTCTTACATACTCGTGATATGTACTAATGACTGATTTTTTGGATTTCTAGTATGGTTTCTGGCTGGGCTAGACTAACACAATACAACTTTGATGCACTCTTGTGACAAAAGGTGGAATCACCCACCCCAGGCTCCCCCACACCCCGGTCCGATAGGATTGTGGAGGGGTAAATCAGGGTGACTCAACTGATCAACAAAGGCTAGACTTTTGCTCACTGTGCACAATGAGCCCCCTTCATTTTGAGAGGTATCCTTGGTCTCTTGTGACAAATTTCACCTCTGTGACCAGTTGAGTTACCCATGCGGGCAACTTTGATGCACTCTAGCTTAAGTGGTGATATTTTCAGGCTGTTGTTTTCCTTGTCTTTATTTTTTGTCACAAATTGTACTTGCTACTACTGGAGACCGGCCTGATACAGTCGCATACTTGTTGCAGGAATGTGGAGCTGCTTTAGTTTTTTTCAAGACTCGGTATGCTGCATTTGTTGCTTCACAGGGTCTTCAATCTGCAAATCCCATGTTATGGACGACAGATCCTGCTCCAGAACCAGAAGATATGTATTGGTCTAACATTTGTGTACCATATCAGCACCTTTGGATCCGTAAAATAGCTATGCATGTGGCTTCTGTATGTTTTGTGATATTCTTCCTCGTGCCTGTTTCTCTAACGCAAGGCCTTGTTCACCTTGGTAAGCTACAGAAGACATTTCCATCTCTGAGAGGACCATTGCGGAGGTACTATTCCCCTTTGCATAGGGTATACACTTTAATGAGGATGCTACTTCTAGTATACGGAGTAGTAGTTATTGAAGTGATAGTTAAGCTGCTAGTTGTTGTGTCAATGAGAAATACATTTGGAAAACATAAGCATTCAAGGTAGCTGTTTTAAATTAGTGTATGCGTTGTATTTAATTCCTTCTTTTTGGTTTAATTTTTTATTTTTTGCATGCATTTAACTGGACATATGATGCAGCATGAAAAAAAAAAAAAAAAAACTAAAAGCCACATTTAATAGCTGTTCTGGATTTTGCTTTCTCCAATTTTTGCTGTCAAGTTTTCATTCACGCCACCTTTCATTTATTTAGCATTTAAGTGTATCTTTTATTTTGTATTGCTGGCTATTTATAGCCCTGTTGTTTATCAGCATGCATCTTGAATATTATTATGAACCATTTGAATTGAAGTTTTATTGAATCTTGAAGTTTTTTTTTATCCTATTGGACAGCCAGTTCTTTGTCCTACATCAACATAAAATATGAAATGTGTTTGCATGCGCGTGTGTGTATATACATACATACATACATATATGTTAGAGGAATAGGGTGTTAGTTGAGAGGATCTCTCTTAGCCTTAGGTTTAGGTGTTTGAAATCTATGGCTAGGATTAACTCTTGTCTTGTATAAATAACTCTACACTTCCTTGTACATCTACACACAGAACATATAGTAATATACAAGTTGAGTTCATTGTTTAACATGGTATCAAAGCGAGATTGAGGTGACGGGGTAGTGGGCTTTGGTCGGAAAGAGGAGGCGGTGCCGTCGAGAGGAGCGGAGCAGCCACTGGAGTTCTCACGCGCCAGCGCAGTCCTAGGGTTCCGACGCCATGCGCCGGCGCGTGCGCACTGGTCCGGCGTTTTCTCCGGTCGCGGCTTGCACTGTTGGGCTCGTCTTTGTACGCCCGACACATATGCAGTGGTGGTGTAGCCCGGTGTTGAGGAGATTTTTAGATGGCTGCGATGTCTTTGTCTCCTGCTGCGTAAGTGGTGCGAAAATTCCAACTGGGAAAATTGAAGATTGTTGCTGGTCGCGAGAGAGAGAAACCAGCGAGAGAGAACAATCGCTAGAGAGAGAGAGAAAGAAAGAGAGAGAGAGGTAGGGTTTGTGAAAAAATGGCTGAGGAGAGTGAACAGAGGATGAAGGGCTACGTCAAGTGGTTCAGTGACCAGAAGGGGTTTGGGTTCATAACCCTCGACGACGATAGCGAGGATCTTTTTGTTCAAGAGAGACAACCGAGAGAAATGGTAAGGGAAGTCCATGAAGCCGGGTGGTCTAAGGTCCACGGAGCTGGGTGGTCTCATGGCTACAAAATAAAATTGTGTGGTTAGGTTTGTGCTGTTGACGAGGAATAATTATGTTGTAGGTTCTTTTGTTTATCGTATTAATAAGTCTTGAGCTTTGTGTTTTGTTTATCATAGTTTGTCGCTTTAAGTTAATTTGGTATGGGAGCAATTCTAGGGTTTGAGTTGAGTCAAGTGTAACTTGTTCAGTGTGCGTAAACAGGGGTGCTGCAGGAGTGGGCAGCACAGGTGCTAGGAGTGGGGCGGACCTGGCATATGCCGCGGGGGAGGCCGACGGCTGAAGAATGATTCAGAGTGAATCGGTTTACGTGCATGCACCAGGGGAACGCTGTGGTGTTAGGCAGCGTTGATAAGGGTGCATGGTGAGAGGGACAGGTGCACTGTAGTCTAGCAGCGCTAATGGTTTGTGGAGTGAGAGGCAGGTACGCTGTGGTGTTAGGCAGCGGTGATAAGGGTGTGGGGTGTGAGAGGCAGGTGCGGCGCTGTGGTGATTGGCCTAGCTTTTGTTGGCTCCATAGAAGCGTTGTTGGTGCGACAAGGTGCGTTGTGGACTAGTTTGGCACAGCGTGGATCGAAGGTTGTTCGAGTGGTTCAAGACTTGGGCGTTAGCGTTGGAAGTTATGAGTCTAGGTGTGGAGTCCTATGGTTCATGTGATACATATGTAACAAGTTGGATGCTCCAACTTGATGGGGAGTGTTAGAGGAATAGGGTGTTAGTTGAGAGGATCTCTCTTAGCCTTAGGTTTAGGTGTTTGAAATCTATGGCTAGGATTAGCTCTCGTCTTGTATAAATAGCTCTACACTTCCTTGTACATCTACACACAGAACATATAGTAATATACAAGTTGAGTTCATTGTTTAACAATATAACAATATATATATATATATATATATATATATATATATATATATATATATATATATAGGTCCATAACCAGGTGAGAACTAACCTTAACCTGCGGACTTGTGAGGGATTGCACCACACTTACTACATGATTGCAGTGCACCTGAATATGATTGCACCGCAAGGTCCTCCGAGCATGTCTGGGAGCCGTAGCAGTGCAATCATGTAGTAGTTGCAGTGAAATCCTTCACAAGTTCGCAGTTTGCAAGGTTAAGGTCAGTTCTCACCTGATTAGAAATCTATTATATATATATATATATATATATATATATATATATATATATATATATATATAGGGCTGGTCACTTGTGAGACTATCTCACAGGTATATATATATATATATATATATATATATATATATATATATATATAGGGCTGGTCACTTGTGAGACTATCTCACAGGTCTCAATTCGTGAGATGGGCCGAATCTAATAAAAATGGGTCATAACAGAATTGTAATATAATCAATACTTTAAGCCTTATATATAATACTTTATATCATTAATGTTAGACAATTTGTAGGAAATAAAATGTCATTACATAACATAATTGCAGATATAATCAATACTTAAAAGCCTTATATATAATATACTTATAGCATAAATGTAATACACATTTTGTATGCAGGGAATAATATTACTAAGCCCATATACTATAAGACCTGTCTCGCAAATTGAGACGGTCTTATAGGAGAATTTACCATTTATTTAATGTTACTGTAAGTCTGAAGTCTGAAACTGCATATTTATTTGTTTTCCATTTACTTGTAACAGGAGATACATAGTTCAGCTGGTTACTGGATATCTACCGAGCGTTGTACTTGTATTGTTTTCATACCTGGTTCCTCCAATAATGATGTTCTTTTCGACAATGGAGTGCTCCATCTCTCGCAGTGGCAGGAAGAAGAGTGCATGTTATAAAATTATGTACTTCATGATTTGGAATGTTTTCTTTGCCCAGACAATTTCAGGTTCCGTTATTGATGGATGGGGTGCTATTGGTCATTTGAGTGAAAATCTCAAAGACATGCCTACCCTTCTTGCTACCGCAATACCAGCAACGGTCACACCTCGCTCTCTCTTAAAATTTTATTTTTTATTGGCTTCATGTGTATATATGTTATATCTCCAATTATTTATTGCAAGTGTGATGAAAATTTAATATTTTGCAGGCTACTTTTTTCATCACCTATGTTATAACGTCGGGCTGGGTGACTTTGGCCACCGAACTCATGCAACCAGCCGGTCTCCTCTATAACTTTGTCTATAGGACTTTTCTCAAAAACAAGGACTCGTCTTATGGAAATGTGAATTTTCCCTACCATACTGAACTCCCAAGGATTCTTCTTCTTGGGCTTCTGGGCTTCACGTTCTCTATACTGGCTCCGCTAATTTTGCCCGCCTTAATAATTTACTTTGGCCTTGCTTACTTTGTGTACCGTAATCAGGTTAGTCTTGTCCTTTTATTTTTTTACTCAGATATGGAAATCCTTATCTTTCTCTGCTGTCCCATTTTCAAACTTGGCAGATTCTCAATGTATATAGCACACAATATCAAACCGGGGGACTTTACTGGCTTCTTGTGCATAATGTAACAATATTTTCGCTGGTGCTCATGCAACTAATAGCTTTGACAGTCTTTGGGCTAAAAGAATCCACGGTGGCATCGAGCTCCACTGTTCCATTGATAATCTGTACACTCCTTTTCAATCAGTATTGCAGGCAAAGGTTTCATCCCGTGTTCTTGAGCAACCCTGCACAGGTAAATATGTGATTATTACCGGTTTCTCTTTATAGGTTTTCAGATTCTCATCGTGTATGTGCTTGCAGGTCCTCGTTGACATGGACCGACAGGATGAGGAAAGCGGTAAGATGAAAGAAATCCATCAAAAAGTGACATCGGCTTACTGTCAGTTCAATGGCACTTCATTCAAACTAGGTGACCCCGTGCCACCAAATCCCAACGTGGACGGGGAAATCCCCGGACTTCAACCCACCTCTGAAGATGACATCAAACCAGGTTCAAGCTGTCTGTCAAATTTCTCAGCACGTATAACTTCTATATATTCGTTTCTGCATATACTCACGTGCACTCGATGCTTTGTTGCTGTTGCTTGCAGCCCCACGACCTACCCTCCGATCCCACCATACATCTTTCGAGATTGAAGATTTCGAGATTGAAGAATTACATAAGCCAAAGTAGATAAAACAATCTACATGGTTAGTTTATGTTAAGCATGTTGTCTGTCTGATCACATTGTTGCAAGGTTGCTTGGTTCAAGTAGTTCCTTGAATGGAAGAACCATGGGGAATATACTGTACTGAAGGCATGTTTTTGTATTTTTTTTTTAATTATTATATCATTTCCAGGGGTAAGGCTTTTAGAGCTGCAAAGTATACAAGAATTTTGTAGGTTTTGTTACTCAGGGTGTAAATGTTGCTACTCAAGTTTCAAAATGTGACATATATTGCCTCTCCCCTAATAAGAAGGAGAAACATTGTTGTCGGTGGAAGGAGAACAAACGAAGAAAGAAAAATTCCTAAGGTAGTGAAATTCCTTGTCGAGTAAGTTTCGACCCACACGAAAGGCGTAACGATCTGGGCACTGTCTCGGAGAGAGGCTCAGTGAAATAGACATGTCTGTGAAGATACGGACTACCTGCACCTAGACGGAGAGACCCTATGAAGCTTCACTGTTTCATGAGATTGGCTTTGGGCCCTTCCTGCGCAGCTTAGGTGGAAGGCGAAGAAGGCCCCCTTCCGAGGGCCCGAGCCATCAGTGAGATACCACTTTGAAAGGACTAGAATTCTAACCTTGTGCTAGGACCTACGGGTCAAGGGACGTAAACAGAACAACTAGAATTCTAACCTTGTGCCAGGACCTACAGGTCAAGGGACAGTTTCAGGTAAACAGAACATGGAAAATGATGGGTAACTACATTTACACCACTAATAATTCAGGAGAAGGGTAATATATATCACGTTTTAAAAATTGGAAGACAATATTTACACCACTAATAATTCAAGGGTTTATAACTTCACATCATTTACATTACTTAAGTTTTTGTTGTTTGCACTCTACCGAGGATCCAAGAGTGAGATGCTACATTCATTTCTTGAACTTTCTCCTTGTGTGCTTGAAGAGTAATTGCTTTCGCTTGCTCTTCTTTCTGTGAAAAATCCAGGCTCTTTTGCTTCGGGTAAAGTGCTGTCATTGGATAACATTATTACTACAGAAGACATGATTGGTCTATCTTCTGGATGTTGTTGGACACATAATAGGCCGACCTGGATAGACCTTTGAGCTTGAGATAGATCACATGATGGAGCTAGATGTTCATCAATTAGTTCTAGCTCCCTATTTTCTTTATACAGCTTCCATACCTACAAAGTTACTTTATATTAGTAACGGGTGATAGAGGTGATTCGCATGAAAGAACAAAGAATAATTTATTATGCCCTACATGACTGATAAGGTTTAGACTGTTGTTTGGGTGACGAAATCCTCTATTTCTTTTGCTAGTGACAATCTCCAACAATAAAACACCAAAGCTGAATGTATCTGATTTTACTGAAAATATTCCATCACCGGCATATTCTGGAGCTATGTACCCGCTGCAACAAATTAAAAGACATTTGTGTTAATTAAGTAAAGAAAAAATTAGCCGGGTTGGACTTCCATTTGGAAGATTGTAAGTTCGAGCCTCAGTGGAGGCGTTATTAGCTCTTTGTGTTTCAGTAGGTTGAGAAAGTATATGAACAGATACTACAATGTAATAGAGCTAGTAGCATTCAAAAAAAAAAAAAGTAAAGAAAAAATTACACTTTTTGTCTTGAATTATATGAAAATAACACTTTTTACCCTTTAATTATATAATTGTCACTTTTCTTCCATCAATGGCATGTCAAGTGACTTTTTTTGGTTTCTCAATTATCTGTGAAATGGCTTTTTTAACCCAATTCTAATAAAATTCAAGGACAAAAAAGTCCATTCCAGACAACTGAGGGATGAAAAGTGATGAAAGGTATACTTGATTGATGAAAAAGTGTTATTTCCTTATAATTCAAGTACGAAAGCTGCCATTTTTCCTCAAGTAAAAAGTAATGGATAAAAGTTGAATGCTCTTAAACAAATAGTCAAATATCAAAATATATCAAAATTTCAAGGTTCTTACTGTGTCCCAACAATGCGGTTTGTATTTGCTTCTGTTGCATCTCCTAGGACACTTCTAGCCAATCCAAAATCTGATATCTTAGGATTCATCATATTATCTAACAAAACATTATTGGCTTTAAGATCTCGGTGAATGATTCTTAGTCGAGAATCTTGATGGAGATATAGTAATCCTCGTGCAATTCCAATAATAATGGAAAAGCGCTTTGGCCAATCAAGCAATTTGCTCTTTGTTTCATCTACCAAAAAAAAAAATCAAATATTGCATCACAGGAACATATAATGAAGCAAAATTATTATAGGGAAAATTGTAATATATACTCCTCCATAATATGTCAATTATCACCCTTAAATTATTAGTGATGTAAATATTACCCCTTAATTTTTCAAAACGGTACATATATTGCCTCCCCCCGCCCCCCGTTGCCCCCCGCCCCCATACGATATGAGAGGGGCAATATATGTTTTTGAAAATTGAGGGGCAACATTTACACTACGGGGGGCAATATATGTACCATTTTGAAAATTTAGAGGCAACATTTACACCACTAATAATTCAGGGGGTGACAATGATAATTGACATATTATGGAGGGGCATAAATTACAATTTTCTCATTATTGTACTTTGACGTATGGGAGATCAGAAAGCCAAACCAAATATGAAGGTATCCAAGCTTGTATTTGCCATGTACTCGTACACCAAAAGTTTTTCTTCTCCTTGTATACAACACCCTAGAAGTTTCACTAGATTCCGATGCTGAAGTTTGGCAATACAAATCACTTCGTTCTTGAACTCTTCTACTCCTTGTGTGGAATTCTTTGATAACCGCTTCACTGCAATTTCCTGTTTGTTTTCTAGGACACCCTAAAAATTTGAAGTAAACATGTATGGAGTATAAGTTATAAATTGAATCTACAAAAATTGTGAAAATAATGAGATTGCCACATGCATACCTTGTAAACTGCTCCAAATCCACCCTTTCCAAGTTTGTTCTTGTTTGAAAAGTTATTTGTAGCTCTTAATATTGTAGACAGGTCGAATAACGGTATGTCTATGGATTCTTTCATCTTCCTTTCCTTTTTATTACTCTTTTTGTAGAAGTAGAAACCAAGGCTCAAGCCAAGCAGGATCAAAATAATGGTGAGCAGCAACGAACTCCCAAAGATGATTTTTACTTTCTTCCCCTTTGAGCTAGGATGAGATCCCTTTGTAATTGGCTCTGTAGCATCAAGAAATTTTGAGTATCTTCAATTTTTCATCCAACTATCAGTCTGTTTGGAAACCCAAAAAAAGTTGATTTTTGAAAGTCCTTTTTAGAAATTTTTCGTATTTGGCTATTTAAGAAAATTAAAGTAAAAATAAAAAAAATATTCATTCTGATAAACGAAAAAAAATCCTCAAATTTAACACTTATGGCCCATTTGGTTCACGGAATAGGCCGGGAATGACATAGCATTCCCAGTAATAGCCTATTCCTTTGTTTGGTAACCATTTCTATTACCAGGAATAATATTCCTGGTAATAGCCTATTACCTCAAATAAGGTAATAGCTATTACTAGGACCCCTGGTATTAGCCTATTACTGAACGCTCACGAATAGATTTTAGAATCTATTTTCTTTTTTACCCCTTTCTTTAACCTAATTTTTTTTATCCTATATATAAATTTATCCTATTTCACCACCGTCGTTGCCACCACCACCATCACCGCTGCCGCCACCACCACCACCACCATCGCCACAACCGTCGCCGCCCCCATCACTGCCACCGCCACCACCACCACTACCACCCCAGCACCACCACCGCCGCCACCACCATCACCACCACCGCCACCACCATCACCACCACCGCCACCACCATTGCCGTCGCCGCCACCACCACCACCGCCACCAGAACCACCACCCAGCAGCACCACCGCCACCACCACCACCACCACCGCCACAACCGTCGCCGCCCCCACCACCACTGCCACAACCGTCACCGTCACCACCACCACTGTCGCCCCCACCACTGCCACCGCCACCACCACCACCACCGCCACCAGAACCACCACCCAGCAGCACCACCGCCGCCACCACCACCACCACCGCCACAACCGTCGCCGCCCCCACCACCACTGCCACAACCGTCACCGTCACCACCACCACTGTCGCCCCCACCACTGCCACCGCCACCACCACCACCACCACCCCAACACCACCACCACCACCGCCACCACCACCATCACCACCACCACCATCACATATTTTTATAAGGGTATTTATGTCTTTTAAAACATATTTCATTTCTATTCCTTAAATCAACCTAACACTATAATATAATTCCTAAAGTCTATTCCTTCCACGAACCAAACAATAGAATACAATTCCTTTCTATTCCTTATGGAATAGCATTCCTATTACCTCAAAATTCATTCCGTGAACCAAACGTGCTGTTAATGTCTTCTTAAATTTTTAGTTGGAAGACATTTTCTGAATTCTTTATTCTTCCATATTTATTTTATCTCTCATCTCTTTCAAGTTATTAGTTTTTGGATTATTATTAACACGACCACCACCCTACCACAACCACCACCAACAACACAACTATCACCACCACCACCACCACCACCACCACCACTACCACCACCACCAACACCGCAACCACCATCACCACTTATTATTATTATAACAAATAATATGTTCATTATCAAGAAAATGAACCAAATTAAAAAAAAAAAAAAAAACAATTTCTTAGCTTTCAGCAAAACAGAAAAGATTGTTTTTTTTTTTTTTTTGTTTTTTTTTTCAACATTCAACCAAATATTAGAAAATTAAATTATTTTTTTAGAAAATGTGTCATTTCTTTGAAATCATTTTTTCGAAAATATTTTTTAGGTTTTGAAACGGATCCTAAAGGTAGAAAATTGTATGTATTTATACCTGGTATCTCAGAAGAGTCGAGTCTGATGTAAATGTCTTGCCCGTTTTGAGTCAGCACTCGAACTCCAAACAAGCCATTAAACCAGAGCAAGCAACCACTTCCTCCCTTGCTTATGTCTAAACTGGAATAAGCAGTGCAGGAGCAATTCTTCAAACACTTGTGCTCACACTCTTTAAGGTTCATAGTTTTGTTAAACCAAGAATGTTTGGTGTCTGGCAATTTTATCCCAGAATACTTCTTGAATCCATCTGTTCCATTCTTGCATTTCAGAGCCTTCCTCCTATGGCAACCACCAGCCCCTCCAGTCTTATTTACAAAATTTTCCAAGCA